GAAAAACCGAATTACTTGTGTGCAAATTAATTGTCCTTCTAAGCTAAGGTTTTACACACCTCTATTTCTTTAGATACCTATTCTGGATTATCCCGGTGGCATACGTGTATCAGCTCAGCTCAGCTGCTTAGTGCTTACTGCCCTAGAGATAGTATCGTATGTAGCCCGCCGAACTTTAGGGAACTAACAGTTAGGCACACTCATTCGACCATTGGCCGCTGCGCATGGCAAGTAGGTGTTAAATATTTAATGATTACCAAAGCGCCAACAGCAGCCACAGGCAACCCTGCCTACAATCAATGTTGCTCCCGTTGCAATTCGTTAAGTGCTCGCCCATGAACACACTAGAGAATAACACAGACACCACACACACACACACACAAGTACAGAGTATTGCAAAATTTATACGCAAATTGGACAACAGCTATGCTGCCACATAAACATGTGGGTAGTCAGTCGGCTGCACGTGCTGCGAATGTGCAACAGCAGCAAAGTGCCGCAAAGTGCTGTGGAAAACTAATTGAAATTGGCAACAGCGGCGAACAGTTGGCATAAGTTTGCAGTTTGTCTCTCAAGTTGGCACAAACATTGCATATACGCCACGCATAACAAAGCACTTCTACAATCAGCGGCTGTATATATACTTGTATATATGTACATATGTACAAATACACATGTATATATCGCAGCACAGTGGGATTCCGCCATATCCTCGCATAATAGTGTCGTAAGAAGTACACGTTAAATACTTTTTTTACGGAATATAACTTCAATAAAACTCTGCTCTGGTACTTTTAGGTAAGGGCATCATATATAATATAATATTTTTTTAACATGGCAGTATTGATTTTGTTCCAGCGAGTCCTACCAATACACCTAATTCTGTTTTTACACGGTAGATTTCTTCCAGAAAAAGTCATGTACAAAACCCGTGTAAAAAAATACATTAATCATATGCAAAAATAGGTAATTGGTTCGTTATCTCCAAAATCAGTGAAAACCAAGGGTTTATGTTTATTTTATTAAATCACATATATATTGTGCATAACGACCCATATAAAAATGGTTTTTAGCTGTTTGTCAGCTGTGTGTGGTTTTATTTAATTTAAAAAATGCCTTCGAGAGGCTGTGGTAATACTATCTATAAGAGAGTGTACCTTTAAGTCACTGTAAATATCAAAGTTGGTTACAAAAAAAAACCAATGGAATGCGTCTTTTTGGTTTTTAATTGTATCTGCTTCCAATTCTCATTTATGTATATGGGTGTTCCAAGTAAGCCTCTTGACCAAATGTCAGGATAAAGCTATTTATAGATACGTAAGAACAATTCCTCCTAAAGATAACTTTACTAATATAAAGCAGTTTGTCGTGGCTGTCTGATTGACTGGAAGAGCTAAAAAGCTGAAATGTTGACATAAAGTTCTTGCGGTAGTGTAGATGAGCAAACTTTGTTTTTACAGCGTTCTTGACATATTTTTGTGGAAAATTTTTAACTGAAAAATATTACATGTTTCGGTCATTAACAAAGTATAACGTTCTGCTGAGCACTTACTTACTATTTATTTTGCACCTTTCAGTTGAAGAGTTAAATAACACATAAAATTTGCAATTGGTAACGAATAACGTAACAACTTTTAAGTAATTCCTACACAATTTATTTAAAAATTAGTTAAGGGAAGAGAACACAAAAATATACGATTTAACAAATGTGCCGGGCAATGACTTGCAATAGATACTAGGGACTAATGAATTATGTGGTACATACATATATAGTAAATAAATCAGTTAAAGCATATGGGCGCTCACAATCTTTGAATTAATTTATAAACACTTTTAACTGTTAAATTAAATAAAAACCGCTGCTTACAAATCAATTTATTTTTTAGCAAACATCACGCACTTTAATTTCAACTTGTGTATTTACTTTTGATTTCATGAACCGCATTCATAAGGTACTTTTGAAATGGAAGAATAAGAAAATGAAATCTGGTCAGATTTACTGATTGTCCTGTAAGTATCGATTCAAAATCGTTTGCATTTTTGCCGAAATTCCTGTAAACTGGTGAGCAAATTAAATTTTTATCAAGTTGACAATTAGTAGTTCACCTTCTTTTTCACATACAATGTACAATAGTTCCAAAAGGAGAACAAAAACGAGAGTCGCAGTAGCTAGCAGCGCTAATTAATCAAATAAACTCAAAGCTCGTAAACAAGGGTCAGGCTCGATTAAGTTTGGTTAATCTTTGTAATACACTTATTTCTTTGTTGGTACATTTTTGTAACCTTTTAACTAGTCAACCCATTAGCCTCTCCACGCCCCCATTTGTTAAAATTAATATAAGTTAATGGTCTCAAAATCATGAAATGAAATTATCAAGAAACGGACATCGCTCTATCTACTGGTCCACGATTAAATTGTGTCTCACAGATTGTTAAAATATCACACAGTGCGATATACTATTGTATTATGTATTAGTATGCAAGTGACTGATTTGCATAACCAATGAAGAGCAAGCTTCGGAGAAGCACTTACACATATTTGTTTTATTTATGATGATGTTGTAAGCGTCTACTACGAACAGCTCAAGTGCCGATCATCAACAATGCAGCCATGACTTGAATCTATATATGTTTGTCACCACCTCACCATAAAATCACAATATGGCGCTGGGGGCCACAAGGACTCTGACTAATCCTAGTAAATTATTGATGCCTCAGCATATAAGTATTTAAGCACCATATTGCTTATGCCCCCCCCCCCCACATTTGGCAATAATAATCATAAATATGAATAAAGTAATTTCAAGAGGAAACTCTTGTGTTGTGGAGGACTAGAGGGTGCATTTGTAATCTTTTTTGTGTATTATGTATATCAGTAAAGGCTGTTACATAACAACACATACATACATACATATCATTATGTATAAGCATACACTTTATTTATTCTCCTACTTATGGACATGCTTATTAGGATGCGGGAAGATATCGCGGCGCTTACTTTAAGGTCTGATCCTGTTGGATAATAAATTACTTGAAAATGTGAACTCCTCTATGACGCTTATTATAGCATTTATTTTTATTATAGATTATTTTATTTATTTATACTGTATGCTGTTTTGCAAAGAAAATATATTTGTTTACAAAAGCCCACTTCATTTCCTCCAATTTTGGGCTTTGGTTTTCTAGATGTTCACAGCATAACACTAATTTTTTCGATTCTTACTATATCCGAATTAATTCAACAAAACAGTTTGGTTAAATTTTCTGTGAAGAATGTAATTTTTGAACCCGGATTGTTCAGATTATTGTAAAACCCCTTCGACTATGTCAAAATATATGTATATTTATGAATGGCATACAATTTCCATGGTGGGTCGAGAACAACTAAAGACATTGCTAATGCTTTTGATATTTCTAATGGGTCAGTCAAGTCAATTTCTCTTAGAACAGTCAAATATCGTTTACTTCCACAAAAACTCTGTACCACACCAGTTCTTCCTGACCTTTTCGCCGATCTTGCGTGATTTACCTCCGCAGGTCTTCTAACCATTTGATAAATTAAAAAACAGCACCTCTGGGACACCGATTTGACATGTTTGAGGGATTCAAATAATATATAGAAAGGTAGTCAGGGGCATTCCAGAAAATTATGTTTTGGGCTGCTTCGAGGATTGTGAAAGTTGTTGACATATGTGTATTGCATCCAAAGGCACTATTTTAATGGATATTATAATTATTCTGATGAATAAATAAATATTTTGAAAGTTATAAGCGAATTTAGGGGTATTTTTTGTACACATATAGTTTGTGTTGAAAGGCGGAACGGACGTCGTACATTTGTACAGTAAGAAAGTTTATTTGGGACTGACTTGCTTTCTTTTATTACATTCTATTTATGTCCATTTTGGTGTGTTTTGGAGAAGCTAAAACACAATTTTTTTTACGAGTCATCATACGTTATACGCGCATGCATTGCATGCAGTGGACCATGAAAAATGAATGACCATCCCAGAAATACATACTTCAGTATTTAAAATATTCGGAATTGAGTTATGGGCGTCTCGTTTTCATCATTCAATATCATATTACTTAGATTTGATCGGAAAATGACTGTTTGCTCTTAGCCCCAGGATCTAAGAAGGATTATCAAATCATTTTATTTGGAGATCTTCTGTACAAAGGGCTTCCGTTTCATAGCTTTTATTGGTTCCCCAGCCAATTTTGCCAACAAAATTGTGTTGTTTTGCTTAGCCCGCCTGCGTACAATAAAAACCACATTAAGACAATGAATTTTTCTATTTGCTCTCGACTTGACAATCCCTTGTTTGCTTAGTTCAACTTACAGCATGAATGCTGATTAGAGCACAAGCGCTATTTTGAAAGAAAACAATATCGTAGATGTCGTTACATCCGTAATAAACACAGAGTGTCCATGCAAGCAGAGCCAACTATTTACTTTGCTTTTATAACCAATTTATCTTTAGCCCGACGATGACAACAAAAAGTGGCAACATGAAACTGTCAGAGCGTCCAGTTCAAACAGGATATATTGCCAATACAATGGGAGCACGCACACACACGCACAAATGCAGAATACATGACGACACAAAAAAGGAACAGAAAATAACAACAACATGGCCATAACAATAAAATGGAAACATCAACTCGAAAAGTCATCGATGGGCAAACTGTCGAAAGACGCGCTCTGTTTGTCCATCTCAACATTACAACGAACATATACCCTAGAGTACAAAAACAAAAACAACAACAACAAGAACAACAACAATATAGCAGCAGAAACAATGAGGAGCAATGAAAGGAAATGAATGGGTGTATAAATGAATGAATGCAACGATTCAATATCTTTGGTTTTTTATTTGCGACTAAGCAGCCAATATCAGACCAGCCAGTTAATGGGGGCTTGTCAGTCGTAGAATGAAGACATGCATATTTGTAGACCCATTTCACTTAATGAGATTGTTAAAGCGACTGGGACTTACCACACAGAACTTCTCGCTCTTCTTGGTGCACTCCTTCAGATAGAGGTGTGCAATATCCTTGGTGTAGTTGAGGCAGGGCGTTATAGAGCCCACACCCTCATTGTACTGACCACACATGTGGCACTTGAGGCCATCGGCAACGCCAATCCAACCGCCACATAACAAAATGGCCGCAACGAGTAATGCCATCATCTGGCGACCTCCAACCCTGCCAGGTACTGCACCTGCAGCTGATGCTCTGCTTGAGGATTGTGTGTGTGAGGGGGCAGCTGCTTTTGTTTGCATCTCCTCCTGGTTGACACGCGACATTTTCGTATAAATTGTGACCTTTGCTGGAATGCTCACACGCTCGCACGCACACACGTATGCACAAAAAACAAACGAGCGCACTTTCACTAAAATTGCAATTTGGCTTTTGTGTAGTTCTCCTCGTCCGTCTCTCTGGGCTTTTGTTTTTGTTGCGGTTTTTTGATTAATTTTTAGCCCCTTTTGGTTGTTTACTCTTTATTCTCTATGTGTCGTTATTTACTTTTAATGGTTTTTATTTATATTGTGTTTTATATTCGAAAATATGTTCTAACGGCCAAGGTTGTTTGTCTGCCTGGCTGTGGCTGCAATTTATTTATAAAACATTTGCAATTTCCATAGAATTTTCGACATGTCCAACATTTCAATAAATCTATTTTTCAAAGCTCCGCATAAAACACAAGAGAGAGATGAAAAATAGGTGCTCGATTGAACTCAGTGCTGGTCAAAATGTGGTAACCATGTTCTTCGTAGTTCAAAATTGCACACAAAGAATTAAATCTATGAAATCTGGAATCAGATTTTTTTTTAATTATTAAATTTAAGACCATATTAAATCTGATTCCATGACTTGAATTATTTAAAGAGATACTCGTACATCAAAAGGGCAGAATAAAAAGATCTCTTTTCGTCACACTACATAAAAGTCTTGTAGTTAATAGTACTTCTCCATTCCTGTAAATACATTACTTTTACTTGCATATAATTCACTATTACCCAGTACTTGAGGAGATAGGCGATGCACGATGGGCAGACAATGGTATTAACACCAACTACTTTAAATTTCTTCTTCTTGAAACTACAAGTATATTGATTTTTTCTCCTCAGCCAAATCTAACAACGAAAAAGAAGCGAAATATAAAGAAGCAAAAAGAAGCAGGGGCAGTCATTAAAATGTTGAGACCATCCAACGAGATTCGTTTGAGACCTAAACAGAGTAATGGATGCTTGTGAACAAAAAAGTAGTAGGCCAGATGTTTGGCCCTAAAACTACGACCATGAATGGACGTGAGAAAAGGGGGTCATATTGTTGATGGCATATCCTCGTGACAAGCTGTAAACTATTAAAAAGGGAGAAGGGCTTTAGTTTCTTAAAGATTTCTGTTCCTCAAGTATATTCTTCCGGACTATATTTTAAGCCCTTTCAATTGAATTCTAACTGAAACATTCAAGCCAAATTTAAAGGCAAAAGCACCTGTCACTAAAAAGTTAGGTTCAGCCAATATTTATAGTTTAATTGGATTTATACTAAATATAATATATATATATATATATATATATATATTTATTTCTACAAATATTGTAAAGCAGAACCTGATGTTAATGTTAAAAAACAACTGCACACTATTTCCGCCCACCACAATAAAATGTGGCAAATTCAGACTGAATATTATACAAAAGTATGTTCAATAAAATAAAGCTAATCATCTTGATTTGAAAAACTTTTTCAAAATGTTTTTCCTAGTTTCGGGAGGTAAAAATATACACATTCCGCTTGAATTTTATGTTTCTGTAATGAGTTGTTGATAACTGCGTAAAGTATAATATGGTCTTTCAAATGCATTTTGGATGTACGACTTTTATCCAATAGCTTCCAGAAGAGGTCCACTTGAAATCCAATATCCATCAGTATCGACATTTTTGGGAACCCTATCATATATTTTATTCATACATATCACAATAGACTATTGTTTTAATATTTCCCAACTTCTCCGTCCTTGAGTCATTGCTGCGACGGTTACTTTTCTGAAAAGTTTTCGCACTTCTGCATGCATGCGCTTTTGCACCTTTTGTTAGCTGCTTGTCCCAGAAACGCGCGCGGCATGTCAGTGTTGCGAATTGGGAAGTTGACTGCATATAGTATGCCACGCCCAGCTTAGCTCTGTTTAGATATAGTTAATACGCGTGCCCGACTACCACACACACACACATATTTAGGAAACTTTCCAAAATTGTTTTCAAATTGGTTTTATGATTGCAATGCGCTTGGCGAGGTACGCCAGGGAGGCGCGAGCGTCAACTTTTTTGCGTACCCGTATATACTTGTAGTACAAATGCATCGCTTTCAGTTTCAATTTAATTTTGAATACTTTAAATTGAACGCCAAACCAAATCAGCACTATTCGGTGCCAACTCTGATGGTTTGGCTGTTGTTAAGTGGGCGGGATTTAAACACTGCCTATATACTGGTTCCCTAAAAGATATGAATTAAATTGGGACTGCAAATAGCATAGTGCCCGGTATAGTGTCTCTTTATAAAGCCAATTAACAAATGGTTTAATTAAACCGCACATCGCACATTATTGCGACCAGGGTCAGGTGGCCTTCCGTCTACCCCCGATAAGGGAAATATGCAATTTTGCAGCCACAACAAAAAACGAATAAACAAAAACAACCGTGGCCTGACTACTGATCGACCTTCGCTGAGACCACGCAAGCACACTCTGGCGTTATTTAAAGTCCAAGATCCGAGCACTCTTAGTTTATGTCATCGAATATCCCTGGTACAATATTTGTATTTCTCTGCAAATCACACGCGTAGGCTAAACAATCACTTGCTTCGTGAGCTGCATTCAAGAGCAGCAGCAACAGAGACAATAACAAACGACTGCAACCACAAGAACAACAAGCAACAAACACCAAGTAGCAGTAACAGTCACAGGCCGTGCCCGACGCCATCTACTGACCGTGCATCGAGCTGAGGGTGCCGCTTTCCGTGTCCGCTTAAACCGTCGTGTTTGAGTTGAATTCGTCGACTGCAGCGGCAGCATCAGCAGCAGCCATCACGGTCGCCAACGCCAACGCCATCACCATCATCGTCCGCTGCTCTTCGTCGCAATCGGGTTCGGCTTCGGCTCTGCGACATCGTTTTGGCCTTGCCTTCGTATTGGTTTAACTTTGATTCTGGATTCCTTTCAACTTCGTGTGGATGGCGCGCTTCTTCTCTGTCTAGATGCTGTAATGCTGCCTCCGCACATATTTCACATACATATGTATGTACATATGTACATATGTATGCACATACTTGTGTTTTGAACAAATAATTCATCGATATGCGAAAAACTCTTATTACTGAATACCTATTGCACCCAATTCCATGCACTTTTCACTTAACAATAATAAATACAAGTATTTTGTATTGATATTTTATTCACCCCTATTTATAAGAATGCCATCATAGTCGGTCCCTACTGTACGCAACAGCAACAACAGTTTTAAAGTAACATACATTTAACAGTGGCAGCGATTCTAACGCTAACATTAATGTTCGAATTCCGTAAATTTTATTTTATTCGGAAACAAATGGAAAATAACAAGTTTAACATTTTCCTTCTCTGCTGGAAGTACTAGTACTAGTACACTTCGATTTTTAACGATTAAAAATTGCAACTTTCTCTGCATATTATTCTTTTGAATTATTCTTCTCCCTTTAACGAAATGTAGAACACCCCGAATGTTAACGAAGGGGTAGCAAAAGGTTGCCACCTTTTTGATTAAACTTCGCGGCAAGCACGAAACACACCACACGCTATGAATTAACATACCACATGGTTGAATTGGAATTTTGAAATTTGATAGGCCACAAGAGTTTATATTAGCCTAAAAATAGTGCTACCATACATTTAAATTAAGTGGCACCGCCTAAACAGCTGTTTGTGGTGTTTATGTGTGCGTCTGTAATTGATGTAATAATGAATAGGGATGTAAAAACAGATCTATGTTTCATATATTGACTATGTTTTTATCACGATGCCTCAATTATTGTTGGACGCTCACTTTTTTTCAGTGAATTTAAGTTTACATTTGTAGAATTTTTAGAATTTATGTAATTATGCCGATAAATAAATAATATTAGGGAATTTATTAAGCTGTGAAAATAGACAAGCAAATTAAAAATTAGGATTATAATCATGTTTGTTATTATTTTAGTTTTACGCAAGTACTATGAAAGCAAATTTAATTTAATTTAATTGCAATGCTTAAAATTCAATTTTGCTTCGGTCTCGGAAAAAGTGGCTGACATTTTGAATGTCTCGGCAGCTCCCACAGCAGTTCCGCAATGAGCCGAATGGGAGCTGTCGCATTCGTGCTTTCTGTGAGCGCGAATGCTTCCATTTTTTAATTTAAACAAGATAGAACGCTACAGTCGAGCAAGCCCGACAGTAAAATAGCCTGTACTCTCCACAAAAAGGAAAAATTAAAAAAAAAAAAAAATTTTTTAAAAATTAAATTATTAAAAAAAATGAATGAATTAATTAATTAAAATAATTAATTTAATTAAATTAGAATACATGTTTATGTTCAGTTTAAACAGCATACATTTACATCACGTACCTATGCGTGTTTATATGCGTGTTTATATGCGTGTATGCATGCAGCACAAAGTTAAACCAAAGCAGCAACAACAACAACAGCTGCGGGCAGCGCTGCCGACAGAGGCAGCGCATGAGCAGCGATTTTACTTATGGCTATAACTTTCTTCAGAATTGACCTATCATGATGAAATTTGGCACACGGACACATTAGTACTAACTGGATGTACCTACCAAAATTGATTTCAAAATTCCGAGAATTACGGAAGTTATAAGAAAAAATACGAATTGCGGGGGAGTGGGGGGGTGTATCAGAAAAAATAAACAAACTCGTTCTGCCTAGGGCTTATAGGAACCTTGATACCAATTTTGGTTATCCTAGCTCTTGTACTTACTGAGATCCTTGCGCTCATACAGACAGACGGACAGACGGACAGACGGACAGACGGTCAGACGGACAGACGGACATGGCTATATCGACTCGTCTTCTCATCCTGATCAAGAATATATATACTTTGTGGGGTCTGCCACGCCTCCTTCTGTGTGTTACATACATGCGCACAAAACTAGTATAGCCTTTCACCCTTTGGGTACAGGCTATAAAAACAGCTGTTTCTAACTGGAAGAAAGGGAAAACGAATTGAAAGTAGAGTGGGCTGGTAATACCCTGTACCACCCCACAAAAAAAATTAATTCAAAATATATATGTACATATGTATTTATAAAAATGGAAGTATGTACATATGTATTTATGTATGTATGTTATGTACTTGTATATTCCCTAGAGACTGCGATTTTGATCAAATTTCGTGGAAATATTCAAAATAGTCCAATGTAGACCTGTGAAGTTTCGTGGCGATTCGGCGATTCTGAATAATTTCTACTCATTTTCATTTGTTTGACAGTCACTTTTTACTCTGTTTGTCAGTGTTTAATTCGTAAATAAATAAAATTATAAAATCGAATTCAAAACAAGCAGGAAAGCTTAAATCGGGTGTCCCGACATTCAAATACTCTTTACATATGTTTAGAATAATAAGAAAATTCGAAAATTCGGTATTCGAACTCACGTAAATGAAATGTGCAATTACGTCTATGTGAGTGTATGCATGTCTATGCGTGTCTATTCGTGTCTGTGTAAACATGTGTGCAGTCAACCAAAGCACCAGCATCAACAACAGCTGCGGGCAGCAATTATATTTATGGCTATAACATCCTACTAAATCGGCCTATCATAATGAAACTTGGCTTACGGACACATTAATAAATTCTTATAAATTAATGCACTAGTCAGAAGGCAGGTAAACTGACAAAGTCTATTACACATGGTTTTTTTTTTGTTTAAAACAGTTCATTGCATAGTGTGCTTCTTTGTTGTTGCATGAGGGCGCAAATCACTAAGCTTGGCTGTGATGGTGATTTTGCAATAGCAGCAGTAAACGGCGAATCCAAGCCTTGAATTCTTTGCTTTTTAACCAAGCATCTTGTATTCCTTTGTCATTTTATAAATATGTTACTATTGGCGCGCACTTCTGGTTTAAATTTAATTTTAAATTTTCACACCGTGTTAAGCAAAAAGCATTTAATATTTAACTATTGGAGCGCACTATTTGGAATTGAGATGATAATTTGCCTTAAAATAGTGGGGGTATTGGGAAATATAGACACAAATAATCATAAACCTGCCAGTTTTTCATAGTTTTTTATGTAACCGGCGGCATTAATTAAACAAGAGAGAACGCTACAGTCGAGCAAGCCCGACAGTGTAATACCCTGTACCCAGGTAAACTTCCGTCACCGAGTTATATGCGCCCAAAAAGAGGAAGAACAAGAGCGAACTTGTTGCTGCAGTTTGGGGGGGTTGTATATATATATATATATATATATATATATATATATATATATATATATGGTTATTCTAGCTCTTATAGTTTCTGAGACCCTTGCGTTCAGCCAGACGGACATGTCTAGAATCTAGATCGATTTCTCTCGTCATGCTGATTCAGATTATATAAACTTTATGGGGTCGGAGATGCTTCCTTCTGCATGTTACATACTTTGCACAAACCTAATATACCCTTTTTACCCTACGGGTACAGGGTATAAAAAAAGAGGGAAAAAATCTAGATTGTGAAATTTTTCCCGATGTTTTACATATATCGCATATGATTTAAATATTATGATCAAAACATAAAACGTACGTTTTCATTGAGAAATATTAAGTATTTAGAGATTTATTTTTATATGTCCCATTAGTTATTAGGAAAATGTTGCAAGAAGTGTAGTTTGTTGACACACTTGTCCTACAAACGGCTAAAATTAGATCCATTTGTGATATTAAAATCAAAATTAATTTAGTTGAACTTTACAATTTTTTGACAGATTTTGCACTTATCAGATTTATCGCTAACTAACACAATTATTTAAATCAGGAATGGCTAAAATTGAAAGCACTTCGTGCGTGCAACAGACATGATCCGTTTTGGTTTGCCGCCATTTGCACGGGCTTTGCTGTTTCACATCACAATTTAAAACCAGGCTCAAGTGCAAAGTAAACAAGTATAAAAGGTGAAGTCGGGTGTCCCGACTTTGAAATACTCTGTACATATGTTTAGAATAATTATAGAAATTAAAAAAAAAAAACAATTTTATCGATTTTACCTCTCTCAGTATTCGAACTCACGTAAAGGGTATATAATTACACATATACAAAGCAAATGTGTCTATGTGAGTGTATGTATGTATGCGCGTCTATTCGTGTCTGTGTAAGCATGTTTGCAGTCAACCAAAGCATCAGCATCAACAACAGCTGCGGGCAACGGTTGAGCAGCAAATAAATTTATGGCTATAACTTCTTGTTAAATCGGTCTATCATAGTAAAAGTAGGTATGATGTGCCCTCATGACTAAATGGGGGAATTTCCCAAATTTGAGTTTGAAATTCCAAGAATTACGGGAGTTAGAGAAAATCGCGATTTGCACGGGGAGGGGGGAGGGAGGGAAATTCCAAAATACACATTTTCTGCGTATTCACATAAGGCATCTTGGACTTGGTGTTCCTAGGTCTTATAGTTTCCGAGATTATGGCGATTATACGAATAGAAAATCGGGGAAACCATAGGGAAAATCAAAAATTTAAAACAAACTTGCACAGCGTACACACATAAGGCACCTTTTGTGCAAAATTTGGTGTCTATAGCTTTTATAGTCTCTGAGATCCAGGTGTTCATACGGACAGACAGACAGACAGACATAGATCGACTCGTCTTGTCATGCTAATCAAGAATATATATACTTTGTGGGGTCTGCCACGCCTTCTTCTGTTACATTTTTCAGCTCGTGCAAACCTACTATACTCTTGCACATGAAATATGTACAGAGTATAAAAAGGGGTCAATTGATATTCAATGACCAAAGTCAAACTTTTTTGTTTGTCAGACCTGTTGCATCAGATTTTATGCACGGAGTGCTCGCTTCTTCTTAGATTTCAGATGTTGTCGTCTACCTATTCCCTCATGACCACGTTTCGTAAAACTGTAAACATCGAATAGGCTCCCTTAAACACCTGAAACAATATTTGTATTAGCAAACAAAAGTGGCACTCGATAAGAATGAATGCAACGCTGCAAGCGTACTATCGAAATGTTAGATCGATTGTTTTCACTCATCAAAAAGTCAAAGAAAATCTTTAAAATTGTAAGCAAAGTTCCAGCGAAGTTAATGAAATGTGCGATTGAAATTATTGTTTATTAATGGATCTCAGACTATGTCAATCAAAATATAATTGAAATAAAAACCATACAAACGAAATGATTGATGGGTCTCTTTAACTCACCGCCAATAGGGTAGCCAGCCGTATCGGTGTAAGCTTGGCCGCCACATTCACCCTAAGTTTCTGGGATCGCTGACACATTAAAATCAAGGCCCGTCGAAATTTCAGATTCAGGTCGACCCAATTGCATGAGTAAATTGCGATGTTGAGCTGCTCACCCTCGTGGAAGACCAACTCGGCGGCATAGCAAATTATCGAGGTCTCCAATGTTATGCCGAAAAACATAAATAAGGGAAAAAGCAGTTTAGATGGACTCAGATCGATATAGAAGATGACTAGCCCCAAGGCGCACTGAGACATGGCCGTGCAAAAGAACTGAAAGAAACAGGCCAGCGATAGCGATTGTTCCAGCGTATCCATCAATCTACAAAAAATGTTGCTAATGAGTATGTGCAGCAGTACGGTTACAAGTTAGAAATAGACGTAACTCCAGAATGATTTGGTGATCCCCAATACAGTCCACCAGCTCGAGATAGGCCTGCTCTTGGCGCTGGTCACATTCTTGCCCCAAACGCCTGATACGCATGGAGAGGGCTTTGATGTGTGCGGCCACCATGGGGAGATATGCCTGCGGATACGTATTATTGCACACCTCAATCAGACAGTGCATCAAGAGGCCCACCAACTGCAGCAGTAGTGTCGCCACAAAACGTTGTCGGGTCTCCCACCAGTTCCAGGGGAACCAGGATGGGAACAGCAACTGACGGGTAGGTGACCAGTGAACGACCAATCCCGCGGAAGAAAGTAAAGCAATTGAAAAAGCTAGTAGGGCCTTGAACATTCGTTTACACTGACGATCGGCACTCGAAATTAAACCTTGCTCCTCCAAAGTTTGCAGACGACCGTCCAGTCGTCTCAGGATGTGACGGATCTGCTTTAATTGGCCACGCACCCTCCACGCGTTGGCATATTTGATAATGGCAAAAAAGGCTGGCATAGTCACAAAAAGATTCTCGCAGAGCTCCAAAAAAGATTCGGCCACAAAACAATTTATGAGTATTGTCAGTGGAAAGCAGATGGCGAAAAAGAAATTCCAAACAGTCCTGTGCATATTGTACAATCGCATCAGTAACCCATCTTCCAAGTTCGGTGGATTTAGGCCCATGAAACGCCACCAAGACCAGTGGTAGTCCACGGCCCGCACCGAGTCAATGCTTGGCAACATCCTGTACGAAAACTCTAGTCCAGTCGCAGTGCAGGCCAATTTTATAGGCAAGTTTGTGGCGACACATTATTGGAAAATTATGCAAATTGGCTTGAACTTAGAAAGTTCACAATAAGCACTGAAGGTGCTGAACCTCATAGGAGGTTCCAAATCCAATCACCAGTGCTGTCATTTTTTTAATTAAAAAAAAGCTGTTTCTAACTGGTAGAAAGGGGAAAAAAGCCGACACTTTACAGAAAAAAATCTTAAAAAACGGTTATGGTTTTACCAATTTATTTGTTGTAAAGTGACATTTACATTAACTCATTCAGTTCTGCGAGGTTCGCAGTCGAACGACATGGTCGTACCAATCATGCGTACATAATTATTAGGCAATTGGTAGTCAAAGCAGTATAGTTTTGTCAGAAAAAATGACAGTCTATTTTTGTTGTTGAATAAAACAGTTCATTGCACTCGAGTGCTTCTTTGTTGTTGCATGAGCGCTCAAATCACTAAGTTTGGCTGTGAAAGTGATCTTGCAATAGCTGTAAACCCCATGGTCGCCCGTTTGCTTTTTAGTCAAGCATCTTGGCAGTTTGGTAGTACGTAATTCTGTTTGTAGATTGGTTCCAGAACAAAACCGTGTAAAAACAAGAAAGGAATGCTAAAGTCGAGCAGGCTCAACTCTTAAATACCCTGTACCACCCCACAAAAAAGTAATTTAATTAATTAATTAATTAAATTAATTAACTAAATTAATTTAATTAATTAACTAAATTAAATATAAAATATTCCATGCATGCATACATACATTTACATTTACATCAGAATCGTGCCTTATGCGTGTTTGTGTACTTGTACATATGTATGTATGTGTGCATTGGGCCTGGTTAAATGGCTATAACTTTTTTTCGATCATTCTAAAATCGTTAATAGGGGGGGAGTGGAGGGGTGCATCGGGAAAAATGAACAAACTCGTCCTTTCTCGGGCTCAGGAGAATCTGTATACCAAGTTTGGTTATTCTAGCTCTTATACTTTCGGAGATCCTTGCGTTCATACAGACGGACAGACAGACGGACAGACAGACGGACGGACAGACGGACAGACAGACGGACATGGCTATATCGACTCGGCTTGTCATGCTGATCAAGAATATATATACTTTGTGGGGTCTACCAAGCCTCCTTCTGTGTGTTCCATGTGCACTCGCACAAAACTAATATACCCTTGTACCCTTTGGGTACAGGGTATAAAAAGACATTGATCATGTGCAAAAATGCTAAAACCTATTAAAATCAGTGAAAATACAAGGATATATGTTTAATTTATCAAAACACATATATAATGTACATAGCTGTTTAGCTGTTCGTCAGCTGTGTGTGTTTTTATACTCTGTACATAAAATGTACAAGAGTATATTAGGTTTGCGGGAGCTGAAAATGTAACAGGCAGAAGGAGGCGTGGCAGACCCCACAAAGTATATATGTACTGGAGAGAATTTGTTTTGCTAATAACTTTTCTTAGAACTGACCGAATTGAATACAATTTTACACAACAGTAGATTATTATAATATATAAAATGTGTCTGCAAAGTTTGGTTTAGGTAGCATTTGAAATGTGGGCGCTATTGACGAAATTCTGTAACGGGGGAAGGGGGCCGAAATTCCAAAAAATAAAATAAACACGTCCTTTCTCGGACCTAGGAGAATCTGGATACCAACTTTGGTTGTTCCAGCTTTTATAGTTTCTGAGATCCTTGCGTTCATCCAGACGGACAGACGGACGGACGGTTTCTCTAGTTATGCTGATTCAGAATATATATACTTTATGGGGTCGAAGATGCTTCCTTCTGCATGTTACATACTTTGCACAAACATTTTTACCCTACGGGTACAGGGTATAATAATGTACGGGTGGAATTTTCCTCGACATTTCCCAGATAGCATTGTCTACTTGTGCTGTCCATTTTGTATTACAGAATAAATCAGGTAAATATTTGTATATGTTGTATACTTGTAGCTGTAGTATAAAAATCTTTACGAGTATTCTTAGAATGGGATTTTTATACTCTGTACTTTAAATGTACAGAAGTATATTAGGTTTGCGGGAGCTGAAAAATTTAACAGGCAGAAGGAGGCGTGGCAGACCCCACAAAGTATATATATTCTTGATCAGCATGACGAGACGAGTCGATCTAGCCCTGTCTGTCTGTCTGTTCGTCTGTCCGTCCGTATGAACACCTGGATCTCAGAGACTATAAGAGATAGAGACACCAAATTTTGCACAAAGATGCGTTATGTGTCTATTCTATACGAGTTTGTTTTATTATTTTGATTTTCCCCCCACTTCCCCCCTATGGGAGTTTTTCCGATTTTCCATTCGTATAATCGCCTATATCTCAGAGACTATAAGACCTAGGAGACAACTCCCGTAATTCTTTGATTTTTGAACTCAAATTTTGCAAATGCCCCCAGTTAGTGCTTATGTGTCCAAATGCCAAGTTTCATAATGATAGGCCGATTTAACAGGAAGTTATAGCCATATATGTACATAAGACCAAGCAGTGCCCGCAGCTGTTGTTGTTGTTATTGTTTTGCTCAGGCACGCGAGGCATACACAGACACACACATACACGCATAATTATTCTACACATATGTACAGATTATTTCAAAGTCGGGAGATATCGTGCTTTGACTGATATTTGTATTCTATCCTATTAAGTAAGAAAGAAGTCTTTGAAGTACAACTGTGGTAAGCCAATTCTCTCAGTAAAATCTGTTTATGTTTATACTCTGTACATGAAATGTACAAGAGTATATTAGGTTTGCGGGAGCTGAAAAATTTAACAGGCAGAAGGAGGCGTGGCAGACCCCACAAAGTATATATATTCTTGATCAGCGTGACAAGACGAGTCGATCTAGCCCTGTCTGTCTGTCTGTCCGTCCGTATGAACACCTGGATCTCAGAGACTATAAGAGATAGAGACACCAAATTTTTCACAAAGATGCGTTATGTGTGTATTCTATACGAGTTTGTTTTATTTTTTTGATTTTCCTCCCCACTTCCCCCCTATGGGGGTTTTCCCGATTTTCCATTCGTATAATCGCCTATATCTCGGAGACCAAAAGACCTAGGAACACCAAATTTTAGTCCAAGGTGCCTTGTGTGAATACGCAGAAAATGTATATTTTGGAATTTCCCTCCCTCCCCCCTCTCCCCCGCAAATACGATTTTCTCTAACTCCCGTAATTCATGGAATTTCGAACTAAAATTTTGCAAATACCCCCAGTTAGTAATTATGTGTCCGTATGCCAAGTTTCACTATGATAGACCGATTTACCAAGAAGTTATAGCCATAAATATATTTGCTGCTGCAGCGCTGCTCAAGCGCTGCCCGCGGCTGTTGTTGATGTTGCTGTTTGGTTGACTGCGAAAATGCTTACACAGACACGAATAGATGCGCATAGGCATACATACACTCACACAGACGCAATTGCTATGTAAATGTGCAATTATACACCCTTTACGTGAATTCGAATACCGAGAAAGGTAAAATCGATCATTGAATTTTTTTTTGTTTTCTTAATTTTTTTTATATTCTATAATTATTGTAAACATATGTACAGAGTATTTCAAAGTCGGGACACCCGACTTTAGCTTTTTACTTGTTTTGTCTTTTTTTTGTTTAAATATGTTGACCGATATATTTAAATACAACGTACTGTGGCACACAGTGCATAAAAATAGCTTTCAGCTGACAATTTTCCGAATTTGTGGGTAGAATTTTCTATAAAAAGAACTCTTTCCTTGTGTCAATCGATCAATATGTTTTAAATATGCAAATAAATTCTAGAGATGACACTATTTAGCAAAAAATATCGATTGAGGAACTCGGAGGAGAATAGTGGAAAATTCGACCCCAAATTGCGGAATGTCAATTAATATATTATTTGATGATTTGCATTTGCTTACAACTCTATTTTGATTCCAAATTCAGATTGCATATAGTAAAGTTTTTAAGCCACAATCCATTTCTAAAGTGTTATTACTAAAGCTGGAACGTAACACTTCCTATACAAGCACTAGTGAAAGTGATAGATTATATATCTTTTTTAAAATAAGATTTATAAAAAGTATCGCCGATCTTAAAGTGGGGCTATGATCAAAAGAAACAGCATGGTGATCAGGGACTATGAGATGCGAAATTGACGAGTATCGTGTTAGAAAGAGGGGACGAAAATGTCTGTCACAGCAAACTGTAAGTTTCCTAAAGGAGTAACGAATCAGTGTGAGGACCACCGAAAAATTTGATTCTACAAAGTCTTTGCAAAGGAACTGTTCCAATTTCCTAAATAATATTATGCTCGTATTATGGGCAGCAAACATATGAAAGGTACTCGAGAATGGGCTGTATACGTGATATAGTGATAGAAGATGCTTAAACCGCTTACACCTTTGCTTTAAAAAGCTCACATAAGTGGTTTTTAGAAGCGAAGGCCGACAATACAATAAAATGAGCTACAATTAGCATTTTCAATTGGCACACATTTTAAGGAACCGAACAAATGCTAATTGGCCAATTATATGGCAACTATTGTAAGCAATAAGTTAAGTTGTTGTAATTATGAATAAGAAATGCCGAGTTCAGCTGCCAACTAAGTCGTGATTTTCGTGTGTTTTCATGTATACATTCACAGGTGCCTTTTGATTATTAATTCGACCAACAAAACTCAGGGCTATTAATATATTATTGCACACCGTGACTTCTAAAAACGGATCATATTAAACGATGCTTTTTTGTCTAATAATTGCATTGGGATAATCGGGTGTACGCTCTCGGATTGGTAAATCAAAAAAAAGGCCTCAATTAAAGAGACATTTCATGTACGGAGTATAAGAATTGGTCTACAAGGATCTAGGTTATTATTTCCACATTTCCGATTGTAGAAAATAGATTTTGCTTTCAAATGATTACGCTACTTTCTACGCCAGTTTCGAAACTGAAATCCCGAAATGGAAA